GTGTATTTAGAGATTCTTAAAGCTAATGAGAATGAAAATTGAGTTTAATGATTTTAAAAGCAGAAGAATGAGTGGATCGACGTTTAGAATAGATAAGAGAGCGAGGTGTAATCTTCAGTCGTGTTCAGAACTGGTGAGAGGATGGAATCATATTTAAATATATTTAGAAAAGATAGAAGTGGGAGATGTTGAGGAATACTGAAGAAAGAGAACAATTATAGATGTAATGTGGATAATAAGAACATTTTATGGAAATTTAAGACTGATGAGGATGCGAGATTATACTTTTTAGCATTCTAAGGACTGAACAAATTATCGGAAAGTTCGAGAATGAATGGAGTGAACTTTAGAGAATTTAAGAAAATGACTAGGAGTGAAAACTGGAGAAAGGTGTAAGAGAGAGACTGGACATTTTTAGAGAAATTCCAAAAAAAAATAAATGATCATGAGAAATGTTTAAAAATGAGATGTTATTTTAGAGTCTAAACTATGGTTTGTTCGATTTCATTGGATATCTATACTAAAATCGCATTATGTTTCACTGAATAGGAAGACATCACAACTTTTATGTAAAGTGATTATGTGTTGAAGTCATACACAAACTTCTATTCCAAGCATTTTACACCGTGAATAAAAATATACGAGTTATCACATTACCAAAGCGTAAGACTTTATGTTGATTTAAAAATTAAATACTTCAAGAATAACATCTACATCAGAAGGAAGTTACGTAAAACAGATTGTTATAATTACATACGTAATATAAGCTGTTATTCTTATTTGCTAACTGAATTATTATCGTACTGAAAGCTTTATCTTTACTGTAGTTGTCTTGACATTTAACACGTTTTATTCGTTGCTCAAAACATAAGGTTTATTAATAGGATTGGTTCACATACACTTACATTCATTACCGCGCATCCACATGTATTGATGTCAGACACGAAATAAAAGTAACAGATATGTATATCTTGGTATAGAAATATATAAAAAGTTATTTTATAAATAGTTATTTACATTCAACCAGTGGGTTTATTCTATCAATTCGATAGATAATTTACATTTTTAGATAATGATAATTTGTTCCTAAATTATCATAAGTAAAATCAGAATGTAAATCGTTCAAAGGTCTTTGAAAACTAGTCTGATACTATCATGTCCTGTAAAAAGTGGCACCATAAGCTGAAGAGTGCCCGGCATGGCCAGGTGGGTAGGACGCTCGCCTACGCAGGTGCATTAATAGCATTTCTCGAGCTCATCAGGCCGAATAGA